GGGCGTGGAGGAATCGTTGGTACACTGCCTGATATCCTGTCAAAAARCGCGRGRCACGTGGGRGGAAATAAAGGRGAAGTGGACCAAGTTAACGGGATGGGAGTTCCCGTCCAATCCGCAGTACCTGCTGACCGGAAGGCTGGAGAACGAGGGTCTAGAGGAGGACTCAGAAGCAGTAGCCGAGTTATGGAGGAGGGCAACTCTGTGGGAGATTTGGAAAGCAAGGTGCAGAAGTACGTTAGAAGGCCAAACTAMAAGCCTGKAAGAGAAAAGGGAGGGAATTAAGTGCACAATACAAACAGAAATAAGGGCTCGGTGGCGGAGGGACCTAAGAGAACAACAAAAGATAATGCTCCCGGATAAAAGGGAGTTAAAGAGATTAGCGTTCACCAAAACATGGCTCTTAGGGGGCAGAATAGCAAAGCTAGAAGGGGACAATCTAGGATTCACAAGCTGGGACGAATCCGGGACAGCACAACCACTGTAGGTACTGCACTGATTTAAAAAAAAAAAAAAAAAAAAAGACCAGAAGTCCGCAGTGGTTGATAGCGTATGCCGCCTTACCAGTGAACCAAAGGCTGCACACTAGGCGTAAAGCCACCAATCCGGATAGCTCGGAGATATATACAGTCTGCTCGGCAGGAGCGGTAGAGGACATAGYTCACTGCTTGGTGCACTGTGTGGAGSCGACAGATTACTGGGCGAGAGCCTCTTCCCTGTGGGACTCCMTCTTCTCTTCCCCTTTCCCTGAACAACCCATCCAACTACTMCTCCYCACTAACATCCCCACGATGACTCGATGGGCGGAATCGAATTGGTTTGAACTCATCAGGAAGGTGGCCCTATGGGTGATCTGGAAGGAGAGATGTAGCAGATCAATCGAAGGACTATCAAATCCAAGGGACAAGGTATGGAAAGAGTCCAAGTCGTTTATCCAAGCWGAGMYATTGTACAGATGGAGGAGAATCAAGCTGAAATGGCCCGAGGACGAAGAGCAGCGAAAGAAAGTGAGATCGAAATTTAGCAGGAACTGGCTGATTAGCGGTAAGGTGGCCGTGAGCCGGGAAGACCGGGTGAGCTGGAAGGACTGGCACAACTCAATTCCGGATGGGATTGTACGGCAACAGTCACCAATGGAGGAAGCAACTATGACTTGAAGGGTTGGGGTCGAAGGGGGTTTTACCGGATTAGGTTGCAGGAGACCGCTTCCACAGGGTCTACCTGCCTTGCCACCGCAGCCGTTCGCCACAATCCAGCACTGGCCGCTTGTGGCTCTAGAGGAAGAAAGGGGAGCGAAACTGYGTTCGTCAGTAAGAACCATCCGAGCCAACAAGAGATGCCGCCGATTGAAGGGAAAAAAAGGGGAAGGAGGGCCGGGATCAAAGAGGGTGCAGAATGGGGAGRGTCTCATAGAGAAGTGACGGCAGTATGGGGATACAGAGGGATCCRGTCGACACACCACTGCAAGGCGGAAGCAAGGGGGGAAAAGTTAGTATTTAAAGCTTCCAAACAAGRGTAGGGTTAAGGGTTTRGGGTTTAGGGTTCAACACAATTCAAAGGATGGGAGAGAGTAGCTGGATCTAAGGAAATCACAGCAAGTAAGGGCGGGTTGGGGATGAGGGACAGCATGTGTGGGCAACAACACGGGAGGAACTCTTTCTAGGTTATAACAGATAAATCTGGCAGGACTGCAACAGTAGATCTGAGAGGGAAGAGCGTCTCTGGGCAAGCTGACAGTCAATCCTCCACC